ATTGAATTACAAGTTTCTAAAATCTCTCCCCTAATATTCATTTCTTTCCTAAATCTCACAATTTATCTATGCTATATATTATACCAAAGTGACTTTTCATCTTAGAGGCCCTGAGTGTTTTAAAACCTTAAATCTAATTTTCTAAAAAGAATATAAAATCTCATACAATATTCTCTTTCCTAAAATAAATCTAATGAAAAGAAAACCTTCTGACCTTCCATAAAATATATACTATTAAAATATTTCACAACTGGTCTAATCAATATAAACTTAAAATTAAGCCTAACATAAAATAAAAATTAAACCTTATATCTAGATTCTTTTTCTATTCCATAATTAAACACAATTTTATTCCCAAACAAATTTAAGCACATCTATATTATATATAATCTTTTAGAAAAATCTCATAATTTATTATTTTTTTATAATGATTCCATGATTTATAATTTAGGAAAGAAATGCACTATTTCTTTAACCAATTATTTCTTCTATCCAAAAATCTTAGTCATCATACATTGCCTCTATTTGGAAAGAAGGGTTGGGTTGGGTTTGGGGCTATTTTAGCCACAAAAAGACAAAATAAATTTTTTTAGCTTAATAATACAAAATATCACATCTAAGCCATAATCATTACATTATTTCTCTCACAAAAAGTCAAAAAAATCAAAAAGTCTGTCCCAAACGAGATTTTTAGTCCCAGGTTAAAATAGCCAAAAAGCCAAAAGTCAACCCACTTCCCAAACGAATCTATTATACTTTTTCCAAGCCATTCATGTCTTGCTTGCCCTATAAATATTATATTTATGGAACAATGAAACTCATCGTTTTTTAACTTTATTTTGATGAGATAAATTGGAGATTAGTTTATGTTTAATCTGTTCTATTCTTTAAATAGACTCTTTTATCTTTTAGGTATACCATTTTTTCTTTTTCTTTTTTATCTATGACTATTTTTTTATTTTTGTATTCCATATTTTGTGTATCATTTCTCCCTCCTCTCTATAAACCATTATCCGTTTTTTGTTTATAACTATTTTTGGTTGGTTAATATTGTTTTCCTAGAAATTTCTACTAAAATGGCGTGATAGGGTCATTTGTATAATAAAAAAACATGTCACTCACAATAAAGTGATAGATAAAATCCAAACAAAATCTTTATTAATAAGTTTTTTGTATTGATTTTATGTTGTATATCATTACATTTTTTTAAAAAAATTTACTTTTAATATTTTTTTAATATCATGATATGTGTTAATTGATAGTTGGTGCAGAGCATTATTTCAAAGGTATGTAATAGTTTTTCAAAATTATAAATAGAAAGTTTTAATTTTAATCAATTTTTTCAAAATTATTAAATGTGTTAGTCAATTATTTAATTATTTATCTTTAATATGTGTAGCTCCTCTATTTCTTTATGGTACTTCTCTCTCTACTCCACTGTGAGTTCATATATTTTTAGAAAAAAATCATATGTAATTTAAAATTTTGAATTTTTTTATATAGGAAGTTAAAAAATAAATTTTAGAATTTAAAATGTAAGTAGACAAAACCATATCCTTTTAAATGTAACTATATGTATAATTAATTTTAATCCATCTATTACCTATCCTTATTTATATTATTATATAAATAAAAATGATGTGCAGTAATTGAAGCTCAAAGTCCTAATCTATTTTTTTCGAAATTTAAAATTGTTAAAATGCATATGTTGCAATATCATTAATTTGTTTCTATTTTAAATTTTATTTTATAAATCTTATAAGATTTGTTCAATGACTAAAATTAATTTTTGTAAAAAAATTTCAATATATTCCTTCCAAAAGTTAATATAACAAGTCTACATAATCATATTTTAAAACTCAAAATTATTCAGCTTGCTTGTTTTCATTTTTCAGAAAACACTTTTCAAAAAATTCTACTTTCTTATTTTCCCTATTTTTTTGTTTTTACTGAATTTTTTTAATATTTTAAGTAATTTTTTTACTTTTTAGACACACCTAACATAAATACAACTAAAAAGTAAAAAAATTGTAAATTTTTTTAATAAAAAATTCACTAAATACCAAAAATACAAAAAAATAAAAGAATTCAGTACATTTTTTGTATTTCTATGTATTTATTAATTTTTTAAAATATTTTTTCGCAAATTTTTTAATTTTTAGATACATCTAACTAACGTGCATCTAAAAAAGTAAAAAAAATATTTAAAATTAAAAAATATTCACTAAAAACAAAAGAATACGAAAACTAAAAAACTCAGTTTTCAAAAAATTTAATCAAGAAAACTCAAACCAAACACACTGATTGATATTTTTATTTTTATTTATTTTTGTTTTCAATAAGCATGTTAAAATATAAATAATATCCAAATAAAATTATACGTATAAATAAATATGACATTAGTTTTAATTGTAATCACATCTTTTTAAAGTTTTTATTCATTTTTAACTTTTTTTTGATATTTTAAATTAATTTTTTTTATTCATTAAGTTTTTAAATTTTTTTAAATTATTTTCCTTTCAAACACTAATATAACAATTTTTTAAAATTCATATATTTTTATTCGACAATAGTGAAGTATTAGAACTATGTCATTTTTTTTTTACAACAAAGCATAATTTTAATTGTTAATTGTTAACACAACAATTTTAATCTATGTTTATGAGTAAATATTATAGTAAAGAAACATTTGAAACAAAACTCTTAAACTTATAAATAAAATTTTATTTACGAGAGAAAAAAATACAAAAAATTAAATATAATTATTATATTTTTAATAAATAATATATTATTTTATGCCATGCATAGCACGGTGACATGCTAATTAACCATTAAAACGTAAACCAAAACATTATTTAGACCGGTTCGAATCAATTTAAAATACAACTTTGTTTTTTTAAAATTTTTGAACACGCATTTATCTTTGTGGCACCGTTTGAGAAGCAAGATTTGGGATTTTTTTTGGCTATTTTAGCTATAAAAGACAAAATATGTTATTTTAGTCATAACAAACTAAACATCACATCAAATCCATAATCATTATACTCTTCTCTCACAAAAAAAGTCAAAAAAATCAAAAAATCCTTCCTAAACCTAGCTTTTTAGCCCAGGCTAAAATAGCCAAAAGCTCATGCTAAAATAGCCAAAAAGGCCGAAAAGTCAACCCACTTCCCAAACCAAGCCAGTATAATTTTTGTTTATCCAATTGTGTCAATTTGAATTTCAAAATTCATCCCCCCTTTTCCCTCCACCCCCTTTGACCCCCTCTCTCTCTCATTGGTTACATTTTCTTTTTCTTTTTCTTTTTTTTCCTGCTCCTCCAATCACCACCCGCCACGTGGCAAAGGGGGGTGAGGGGGTGACCCCCAAAAGGGGGTCCCAAGCATTATTCTAAAAATAATTCTCAAACCCATTTACCGCCAAAGCAGTTTCACCGATCTCCCGCCATTAAAATCAGTGCTTTCAATCTTAAATGTCCGCCCAAATTTTCATCTGTTGAGAATCGCTGTGTTCTAACCCTTTTTAGGCCTCGTTTGGGAACAGACTAATTTAATAATTTTTTAGTTATTTGATTAAAATATGAGCTAAAAAAAATTAGTATGTTTGGAATGACTTTTTGACTTTTTACGAAAAGATGTGCAAAAAGTAGAGAGAAAAAAGAATCTTTGATTTTTTAGTATGTGTTGTTGACTTTTTGACTTTTTTAATAACTTTTTGACTTTTTAACTAAATTGGTCTGTTGCCAAACGAGGCCTTAGATTGCTTTCTAGTAACTCTCTCTCTCTCTATTCAAGAGTTTGGATTAATAGTGAAAGGAATAATAATTCATGAAATTAGTGTTGGATCAGTGAGATAAAAATATTTTATCTTGTTCATATTTGTTTTGCAAGAGATATGAAAATATGAGTGTGGATCTTCTAAATTGATTTCTGTAAGAGTGATTTTTTGAATGGTTAAAATTTAATTCTATCGAATTTTACGATACAATAATCATTTCACTCTACGAAAAGTCACTTTCTAGAGAATTCTGACTCACAGAGATATATAATCTTAATTACATGTTTGTTTTGCATTATTAGTTGTAGAATTAAAAAATAACCAATTATAGAATGTTTATCGGAATCTAATTTGAATAACAATAATTGTAATTTGCAACCGAACAATCGAATGTGAGTCTCATGAATTTATAACCTCACCCTCTCCATTTCATTCATGTAATGGAGGATTTCCATTTCTTATCAGATGGCTATGAAACACAAATGTAAATTTATAATTATTTTAAATTTAAAAATATATTTACACTCACCATTGGATGATGTAATGGAACCTCTCCATTATAAATATGCAATGGAGAGGATCAAAATATCACGCGATGGTTCTAAAGTTAAACTGCTATATCTGCCTCAATTTTGATGTTTGGTTCTGTTTTTTTGATACTTAACCCTTCACCAAAATTTTCATCTAATTTGATTTTAAATTTGAGTAAAAATTTGATTTGGTAATTGGTAAGAACTAGTCCAATCATTTTATCAACTTTTCATCAAAATCATTTTAAAAATTCTTTTTTTTTCCCAAATTTTCCTTTTATCGAATTTGATGGAAAAAAATCATCTCCAATGTTTCATCTGTTCAAATTTTCATCAGATTCAAATTTGATGAATTTTCAATTAGATGGAAAAAAAAATGACTCTCCTTTGATTTGATAAACATTTGATGAAAGGATTGGATTTGTGAACACTTCATCAAATTTAAATTTGATAAAAGAAAAGATAAAGGATTTGAGATAATTTGATGAAAGAAGAAAAGAAAAAATTGGTGAAAGGGTTGGAGATGGTCTAGACACCATGGTGATGTTATTATTTTGAAATTATCTTTGTTTCTTTTTCTTCTTTCAGTTTATTGAAACAATTGGGTCTTTTAATCATTGTTATTGAGCGTTTGTTCTATGTGACACATTTTAGCTCTAATTCAAACCCAATTCTTGTAGATTTCTAGAAAAAATGGCCAGCAGAAGAGGGAGAAAATCTAGGACTCTCAACACCCGCAAAGGTGACAAAGAAGTGTATGAATTTGAAGACGAGCAAAATCAGAAACTGGGTAGTTCCATAACAGACCTCCCAAGGCCTAGCTGTGTTGATATTCTGCTAAGACTCACTGTAAAGAGAATACTCATTTGCTAATGTGTATGTAAACCTTGGCACAATTTAATCTCAGACCCTGAATTCGTAAAGCTGCACTTTGCCCAAGGAGAGGCATATCCTCTGGTTAAATCCTTAGCTCCTACGCGCGTATCCAGAACCCTTTACTTGGTTGAGCCGCCTGAAACCAACACCGGTTTCGATCTTGGGTACTGCGATTGTTATGGGTATCTAAAATGGGATTGTGACCGGCATCTCAATATGAAGCTTGACACTAAGTTAAAAATCCCATTGCACAATGCAAAATTGGTGATCAACAGTGAAGGCACTGATGCCAATATGAATAATCTTCGTTGTAAAAGTGGTGTTAAGCGAAAACGGTGCATTAAATTGATTCCTAAAGATCGCAAGCTCAATGTAGTGAACTCTTGCAATGGGTTGCTTTGTTTGTCTGAACCATTGCAGAATTATCCTGTTGTTGTGTGTAATCCAATCACGGACGAGTTTATAATTCCTACACAGACTGCTAAGCATCCGAGTGCCAAAAAGTTTAGTGATTGTGGTTTGGGCTTTAGTCCAAAGACTAAGGTGATTAGGATGTTTGATCAACAGGAATGTCAATTGACTCGCGAACCCATTTCAGGCAGGGGAATATACAGTAGTAGGATTGCTGAGATACATACACTTGGTACAGGGTCATGGAAACTATTGGCAGTGCACCTCACTCAACCTACAGCTATAAACTAAGAGCTGCCACCTATCTCAATGGCACTCTTCATTGGTTTGACATTAACAATACAGATTATATAATTTCTTTCGACTTTGATAATGACGAATTCAAATCATTTCCACCACCTCCTCATGAAAGAAGCAACGTTTGCCATTCCGAGAAGCCAAATATGTCCATTGGAGCATTAAGAGGCCAGCTTTGCGTATGTGATTCCTCTTATTTTGAATATATTGAGCTGTGGGTCATGGAGAAATACGGTGTTCAAGGATCTTGGACAAAACAGTTTAGTATTAGTACAATGACTGATCATTGGAGGTGGCTTCGTGGTTTATATGAACCAATGAGTTACTTGAGGAATGGAGCCATCTTGTTTTTTCATCGTATGAGCAATGCTGTGTATTATTATGACCCCAAAAAATGGGAATTGATATTTCTAAAGCTTTCTGGGATTAAATCAAGATTTGAGGCAATTGCTCACATTCCAAGCTTCATTTCACTCAAGGACATAGTGATGGGAGATAATCTAGCTGTGTTGAATATCAAATCAAGGTAAAAGTGTGCTAGTTTACTTTTATAATTGCCATTGCCTTGATTGATTTGTAGATTGTGTGTGCGCGCTTGTTTGCTTTTAGTTTTCTCAGCTGCTACATTCTGAAGTTAGAAAAACATGTATACCCTTATCATTTCATGACAGTTTTTTATTTTTTTATTTTTTTTTTGGGAAATTGCTTAGGAGAAGAATTTTCTCTTTGTGATCTTTTCGAGAAGAGTACTATCACATGACAACCATGAACCTCAAAAGACTATATAGTTGGATGAATGCCTTCAATTGGATTGTTCTCTTGTAAATACTACACCTTGTGTTGGACAATTGTTATGGGTGTCCAAGGTATGTGAGTGGTCGTTGAATTTATCGGTTTGGTGATTGTAAAAAAAAGGGGTGAGGTTGCCATATAGGCATGTGAGTGGTAACGGGTTGTTGGAGGCCATAGTGGTGCAATTTAGGTTGAGGAATCCGGTGTGATTCAAGGGAGGTATGAGATTGTGCGTGGAACTCCATTCCATAGTAAAGGTGCAGGGTAAAATGTTGATGTTTGATGCTAAGGTTGGTTGGTTTGTTGATATTGGAGTTTTGGCTGTCGCAAATCGTTCTTTTGAAGTATGTGAACATAGACTTTAGGATTTATTCTATTTAGCTTGCTTTTTTTACGATGTTTTTCTTGTTATTTGGTTATTGTGAACTAGTCTAATTAGGCATGCACGGAACAAGTATATATCTAAAAATTTAGTTTTGTCCATAAAACTCCTTTGCTGTTACTTCAACAATATAATAGGTTGAAATGAGATAAGTTCTCATACTAGTTTTGTGTGTCTTGTGGGTACTATCTCATGATAGTTCTGAATGTTATTTGAAAGTAGAAACTAATGTTTACCTGGGAAATGAAGAAAATTAGTATAAAGACATAATCTTGAAAAGCTTTGGTATTTTTTTTTGTTTTTTGTTTTTTGTATTTTTTTTTTTTTAGTGAATATTTTTAAAATTTTAAGCATTTTTTTTTTACTTTTTTAGATTCACCTTACTTAAATATATCTATAAGAGTCTTAAAAATTGATATATATATATATATATATGTGTGTGTGTGTGTGTGCGCGCGCGCGCGTGTGTAGTAAGTAACTAGGGTTTGGTGAAAACTGTATGAAGTATACCAATTACATGCAAAGCACGATATGAAGATTTATATTTTATATTTTATTTTTATTTTTTTAGAGACAAAGAGAACTTCCTTTCAAGTTTCAAATAAATTTACTAATTATTTGAGGAAACTTTCAAAATTTATTCTTTGCGAAACCATGTTATTTGTTTTTAATTGTGTGAGTGATTTTCTGACCACACTGTCCGCTTACTAACCAGCTGGAGAGCACCGGCAGAATAGATGGCTTCAGCTAACCTGTAACAGAAAGAAAAGGCTCCGGCGGTGGCTCTTCCACCTGGGGGCATTCCGACGATCAAGTCAGTATATCACTCAAAGATAATCAAGTGCTAAACTCACTACTCAAAGCATAAAATTGCGTACCTTAGACCCACGGGGGTGCCTCTTTTTTATAATTTACTTAATCCTAATCTCACCAGAAGCCTGACTTCCATGGACTCCAATTAAGTACTTACTTTGGACTCTTCAAGAGATAAAGATAAACTCTCTAAGAGCTTTATCCTTATCTTGGCTAAGTTTCCTCTTCATTCTAGGACTCTTGTCCCTTATCTCTTATCCGCTTATCTCGGATTCCGATATCTTCGGAGATAATCTCGGCCTTGCCGAGATCACCTCGGCGTTATGACCCTGATACGTAACACCTCGGCTGACACGTCAGCGTCACCTTGACACGTGTCGGTACTCAAAAATATATCCCCACAACTGCCCCCTAGGTTCTATTACCTCGGCATGCTGAGGTGATAGAACCTATATCATTCCGTTTTTCCAGTACGTCGATTTTCAATATCTCAGCCGAGATCATTATTTTGGCCGATATCTTTTTATTGAAGAACAAGAATTTCAAGAACCCTTCCACGCATATGAGCTGTCATACACCATAATTCAACCATTTTTAATCACGCGTTTCTTTCTTACTGGCTCGTGCCTGTGACGCGCCCATAAGTCATCTCTTTCTCACGTGCGCCGTTTGACGTATGCGCTCTCTTCTAGGCGTATTGATTACTTTTTTGCCACCGTTTTCATTTTTGACAAAATCTTTACCCCTTTCTTCATTTTTCCACTTTTGCATCTGATTTCTCTTGCTTTTCCTCTCTCTAAACTCTTTCTTTTGAATCCGCCATTGCTCAAGCTCCAAGCTCTGCAATTGTTTTTCGTTCTTCCTTTCTGTGAAGCTTTCGCTACTCCGTTACTCCTGCAACCTTCGTATGACTTCGGCAATCTTCATACCGACTTCACTCTTTTCTGGTAAGCTACTGTTCCTTTCGTTTTCAATTCTGTTAATATTCTTCATTACCTGTTGCATTTACTGTATCTATTGAAACTTTTAATTTGCGATTCATACACCTGAATGTGTTGATTTCGCTTTTTGCTTATGCCCTAAATACATGTACTGTTCATAGTTCTTCTTGCACGCCTTGCCACTGTTCTTGGCCTTCAACCCTTTGTATTCTTCATGTTCTTGATAGTCCATCTCTGTTCTTGATTCTGAAACTTCATATTTGTTTTCTATTTTTTGTATCTTTTCCAGATCGGTGCCTTTGATCTTCATCTTCATAGCTTTAGGTTTGGGATTTGTTTGTAGAACCCACATTTTTAGGGCAAAACTGAAACATCCCTTTCAAATTTCTTCATCAACTAAAACCTAGGTTTTTTGCCGAGGTCCCAATAACCCTATTTGAACCATCTTCTTATTAAAACCTAATACCTTTAGTTATCCCGACATCATGGGTATGTGGGAACATCGGGTAAACTCCCCCTCTAAGCTGGAATTTTTTAGGCAAGAGTGTGAAATCTCAGCCGATGTCAATCTGAGGTTGGCTGGGGATGATGACTCCATCATGCCTACTGAAAACTCTATACCCTTCCCTGTGGTTGCCTTTATCGAATGTGGACTCCGGTTTCCACTTAACATCATTTTTCGCGAGATTCTTCATTACTATAAGTTGAATCCCATGCAACTGGCCATTAACTCTTATCGAGTGATCTACGGCATTATTACCTTAGCTAAACAGGAAAATGTTAGGATCACTCTAGCCGATATCCAGTACTGCTATACCATGTGTGCCCTTAATTTGAAAGAAAAAGGTTACATTTATTACCTTAAGCCGAGGTCTATAGAATTCAAAATCGTAGCCGACCTTCCAGACTTTGACAAGGGGGCTGGAGATGATTATTTCATTACCTCGGGAAATTGGGAGTTTGCTCCAGACGAAGACGTCCATCTCTGCCCTCTTCCTCGTTCAGTTTTAGAGGGCAAGGGTAAGAGCCCAATATTCAGCTTTGCCTGTTTTCTTTTGAAGTCTTAGATACTTTCTCTGTTTCTGACGTCTGTTCTCCTTGCAGCTGTTCGTCAGCCACCGAAAAATTTTCATCAATTCTTTGTTCCCAGCAAGGATTTGAAGAAACTTCTGGACTTGCCAATCCACAAAAGAAAGACGCCTCTGCTCCTTAATTTTATCCCAACTTATAAGTCAACCTTGCCCGACGTCCCTAAGAGGAAGAAGAAAAGCCTCTCTCCACCTTCTACTACAACTCCATTGACTGTATCCACATCACGAACAGATCAAGGATCAACATCTGATCCAGCTGATCAGCCATCAACCTCGGCTTCATATTTGGTCCCGATATCAGAACGAAAGCATCGGCGACGACTTGTCCTTACTGTCGAGATGGGCCGCCTAAAACCAGTTGCAAAAGATCTTCTGGCCAGCATTCCATCATCGGTCGACGATCAACCTGCACAAACCCTTCCTCCACCGAAGCCAAAGAGAATAAAAAAGGCTCAACCAAAGGCTAAGGTAGCTCAGGTTGAGTTTGAAGACACTCTACCTATTTCAAAGTTGGCTGAGAGTGATAAATCTCAGCCTTCTGCTAAGAAGAGGCGCTCTGTGTCTCAACCATCAGAATCCCAACAACCAAAACAGCCGAGGTCTTCTTCCGCAACAATTTCGGGATCAAAAAAGCTCGATGCCCCCTGGGCCCCCATAATTACTTTGGAAGACAAGCCTGTCATGGCAAATGATAGTGTCGATGATATAAACGTCAACGTCGCACTCAGTACCGCTCTGCTTCTTCCAGGCGACCTAGAGCGAAACGCCCAGTATAGTGAATATGAGAACTATGCTCTAATGCTTTAGCACTCTGTTCAGGTAAATGTTTTCTATTTGGTATTTTTCCTCTTTCCTTCCCTTTTATTTTATATTTTGAGTATTTTCTAACACCTCTGTTTTCTTTCAGGCCATCCAGCATGCCCACTCATTTTCAATGCAGTCTTTTGAGAATCGGGAAAGGCTTGTTGAGATGAAGAGGGAGTTCTCTTCCCTCCAAAAGACCAACAAAGGTCTTCAATCGAAGATGAAAAAACTGGAAGACCATGCCGAGGCTGCGATAAAAGCCCAGACCAATGCCGAAGAGAAGGTTAAGGCCGCTGAAGCCATCAGGAAAGTGGCTGAGTCTCAAAAGAGAGAAGTAGAAGAAAAAGTGGCCCAGGCTGAAAAAGAGCTTCAGGAGGCTCTGGCCACCAAGGATGCCGAAATAAAAGAAGCTGATGAAAAGGCATATGCCCAAGGCATGGCCGACGTTACTAAGGCCTATGAACTTCAAGTGAAGCAGGCATGCAACAAGGGTTTCACCCTTGGTTGGATATCTCTTCTGAAAAAACTCAATGTTCCTGAAGACTCACCATTAAGGAAAACCGATGCCATCCCTCTTCCATTCCCTCCAGCTCAATCTTCAAGTCAAGATATTGGCGAATCTGAATCCGAGGAAAATGATGAGGATGAGGATCAGGCCTTGGTGAGAAAATCCAAGGATGCTGATGGGGCCAAGTCCCCTCCTCAGA